GTGTTCTCTAAGGACTGGTTGGAGCTCTGCAAGAGCTAATCGCCCTGCTTATCTGGGTGTGTTAACACCAAGCCCCACCATGCTTAATTATAGTCCTTGTGCCACTTAATCACAGCCTGCTAGGTGAGGGGTTCACAGTATCTCCCTCTTCCCTTGTTGAAATTGGGCGTATCACATCTTTCAGACCCTAGACTTACCAAAGACTCAGAAAGGTCCTCAAAAACGTTTGCCCACGCTCACCTATCCATCAGCCTCTTGTTGGGGTAGCCACCATGGGAGTACTAGTGCACTTGGGGATGAGCTCCCCAGTTTCTCTTCCAATTGGCCATATGCTCATCATGCACACTGATTCCATCATCCTGTTCCTCAAAAAATCTTTCATGTGGGCCCATCCAGCTCAGACCTGCTATTGACCTCTGTGTCTGCGTCCAGTGGCCTTTGGCCCAGGGACCTAGGTTGCTGTTGTGTCCTGGCTCCTACTTAAGTCCTTGTCCTCCTTTTCCCTTGTCTCCAATGTTCTGAAACTGATCTGATCTGAGGAAAGTTAGTTTTTAATTTGGAACGTGCAGCCAGCTTCCCTGATAGGCTTTCAGAGGCAAGGCACATTTTGGCACTGTAGCAGGTGGGTGGAAGGAGGAACGGAAAATTGCCTCCTACCCTTCTGTTTGCTGCAGGCTGGAGGTCTCTAAGGCCTAGGAGGGTTCCTTCAGTAGGGCTCCAGGCTTCTTGAGACTTTTTAGCCCCAGGAGCGTGGGGGTCAGGAGCTCAGCAGGCCCACTGAGGGCCTTACACCCTCTCTTATCAACCCCTCATGGCTTTTTTAACAAACCTGGGAAGTGTCCTGGCGGGCTCTTTTGGTCCCTTTTCAGAGCTGTCCTTGGAAAGCTGGGGGAGAGTGTGTAGGCTGCTTAGCAGCTGGTGCCTGCCTCTACCCCCACTCCCCACCCCCTCCGTGCAGCCAGGCCTGGCAGACACTTTTCCTGAGCTCTCATCTGGGGTTCGTTTCTGCTCATTTCCCGTTAGTCAGTCATAGGGCCCCACACGCATGTTCCTAGAGGATGACTGTGTCTTCCTTTTCCACTTGGCTCCTAGAAAAACTTGCTGACTGGGCCCTGAGCATGGGGTCATGTGGAGACTTCCCCACCAGGGCCGGAAAATAGATGCTGTTTCCTTCCCGGACCTGACTCAGCACTGGCCCACTGACCGCTTTGGACAGGACTGTGGCTGGTTAGTTTCCCCACCTGGCTACAAACCCCAGCACCCTACGTGGGTGTCTGCAGGGGCTCACAGTCCTAGCAGATACCATGATTTCTGGGAGCACTAGATACCCAGTGAAGCCTCCAGGGCGGGAGGCTGTCCTTCCCCATCCGCCTCTGCCCTTGCCCGGGCATCCTTCTGGTCTCAGGAGTAGTGAGATCCTGGCTCAGAATTGCAGATAGATTTGGGGATTGAGTATTCCAGTGTCCTTGTCACTGGCTTATAAGCTCTTTGTAGACAGAACTAAGTATTTCTGCTCACCACTATAGCCTTTTTCAGCTTAGTCCCTGGCCTGTCCCAGGAACTCGGTGAATATTGGTTAAAAGGGTAAATGGCCTTGCAAAGCAGCCCCTAAAGAAGAGAAGAATGTCCCCAGGGGGCCTGGGGTACAGTCAAGCTAGCTGTTTTCTGGCATTTTGGACCTTCTAAAGCCCTTACCTGGGTCCCAGTTTTCAATCCCACCCTCTTCCTCTCTGGGTGACACATACAGTCAAACTGGTCTGCTCTGCTGTACTCTGAGCCCTATATGCCCATGTTCTCTGCCTCCTGTCTGGTGGCACTGTCTGTCCTCTTCTTGTCTGCCTGTAAAGCCCTGTGCCTCTCCTTCACCCTCACATCTGGTGGGACTGCCTGCTGGAGGGGCATCTTCCCCTGTGAGCAGCTGGCCTCTTGGCTTCCCACCCACATCACAGTCCTGTCCTGCACCAGCTGTGCTCTTCTCCCATCAGACAGCAGCTCCTGAGGGCCAAGCCAAGCTGGGCACCTTGTGCCAGGCCTGGGGCCTACTGGGTAAAGTCTTTCCCACAGGCTCATCAGAATTACACATAACCAGGTCAAGTTGGTGTGCTCCTTCTCAGGCAGGAGTGGGGCCTCCCACAGTGTCCCTAATGGCATCCCAACACCAGTTCTACTCTCTTGACCTGGTTTCTGCTCAGTCCTGGTAGAGTTCCAAGGACTTGGGTGGTTGAGAAGACCTTTGAGAACTTGGTCAGGAACAAGTCCAACTAGTCTAAAAAAAATTAAAAGCTCAGAGATTGTTCTCTTTGGCTTAGGTTGTACTCCAGGCACAGTGACCAAGAATGACCTGCACTCAGCTGAGGCCAGAAGGGCCTGGCTGGTGTCTTAAGTGGTCTGGTAACATGGATCCCACCAAGCAGGCCCTGTGGAGCAGAGATAGGATGTCCACTTTCCTCCTTGAAGGAGCCAGGCCCAGAGTTCCTAGGACTGCCCAGCCTCAAGGCCTCCTTGGAGAGGGTATTTTCCTCACTTCCGATTTTCCCTAAGATAAATCATGCCCTAGCCTCCAAAAACCTGCTCCCCAGGTCCAGGCCCTTTCTTAGACTTAACTGTCTTTAACCTCACTGTGCCTGACACCCACCTCCCAGATTCCACACCGAGGCCTGTTTTCTTTTTTTGATACCTGGGATTGAGCCTGGGTACAGTTCAGTGACCACTTATGGGTGCTTTAAGCTCTTAAGCCACATCTCCAACCCTTTTTATTTTTTGTTTTGAGACCGGGTCTTGCAAACTTACTTAGGGCCTCACTAAGTTGCTGAGGCTAACCTCAAACTTGGAATCCTCTTGACTCGGCCTCCCCAGTTGCTGAAATTACAGGAGTGTGCCACCTCACCCAGCCCAACATTTTGTTTTATTGTTTGTTTGTTTTTAATACTGAGGATTGAACTCATGAGCACTTAACCACTGAGCCACACCCCCAGCTTTTTTTTTTGGTATGTTATTTAGAGACAGGGTCACACTGAGTTGCTCTAAAGCCTTGCTAAGTTGCTGAGGCTACCTTGGAACTTGTGATCCTGCTGCTTCAGCCTTTTGAGCTGCTAGGATTACAGGTGTTCATCACCACGCCTGGCCCTGTTTTGACTTCCCTTTCTGAGCCCCTCCAGCTTGTTCCCCTGGGTTCTTTGGATTTTGCTTTCTGTCTTGGCCTACTATCTCCTTGGTATCCACTAACCTCTCTGTACCTGACTTCCAAATCTCTCCCAGTCCCAGTGTTCCCAGTGACACTCCCACCCACCTGTGACCCTGACTTGCTGGTTCCCCTCCCTCAGCCTGAGCACCAGTGTAGACCACCACACCATGGCCTGCAGCAAAAAGAAGTGACCACCAGGGCTCTTCACCTGCTGCCTGTGCTGTAACTTGAGCACAATGGTTAATTTGGCTTTTTTACTTTATAATAAGTTCACTTTTTAAATGGGTTTAAAAAGAGATCTTGGTCTTATTCTGTGTTTTCAGTAGTAGTAACTGGAACAACAAATGCAGCAGCAACAAAACAGTGCAGCTGGTCCTCTTAGATGCCCTGCTCTTGGCTCTTCTTGGTTAGATTCTGCAGTAGTGACCAACCGACCTCACCCCACCCCACCCCCAAGTGCCTCCTGGCCAGAGGAGCAGCACAGGAAGAACCGCAGCAGAAATAGTGTCCCGGCCATACAGTTCATGGATCTGCCTCTCACACACACGCTGTGAGACACAGGGCTGCGCTTCTTCTTTACTCTCTCATGCCTACTGCTCTGCCCTGCTCAGTCTCAAATGAAGACTCAAGAGATCCAGTGGACCTGGGTAAGGCTCAGAGGACAGCTTATGGCTGCAGGTAAACCTGGCTGTGGCCAAGTCCTTGGTGCCTGGGGGAGGGCTTGTCAGTCAGTGATGTTATCACATTGATTTCTTATCCTAAATGCCACCATGGCCAATGATTTCAGTAGCTTTTGCCAGTGAACCCCAGTCAAACCTGTTTTCTTTAAGTAGGATGATAACCAGTGGCTTTTCTGGGTCTTGACCCTAGCAGTGAGCAGAGACTTGTTCACAGAATGCTTCTGGGAAAGAACCCTTAGGGAGCTCTGTGTCCTTTATTTTAGTTGTAGATGGAGACAATCATTTATTTGTTTGTTTGTTCGTTTATTTATTTTTGTATGTGGTGCTTAGGATACAGCCCAGTGCAAGCGCTCTGCCACTGAGCCACAACCTTAGCCCTCTTGTCCCTTTTCCTCCCCCCATCATGGGAATTATAACACATGGGCTCCCAAGAGTCCCTCCTCAACCCTGCCATGAGCTGACTGTGGCAGGAAGGTAGTAGGTGTCCTTCAGTTTGAGCCCTCAGAGTCCTGACTGTTTGAGATGGACAGGCAGTGCTGGCTTTTAAAGGCCAGGCTTTGTGGCTGGAAATGGCAGTCTAGGAAGCTGGGGTGGAATTTCTCTATGCCCTGGTCTGCCTTGGCCGAGTTTGTCCATCATCTCTCATCAAGGCCTCCCGTGTGCATGTTCTCTGAGAGTGAGACACATTGCTATTTGTTTAGAAAGGCTAAACTAAAAAAAAAAGCGCATGGGGCTGGGGATGTGGCTCAAGCGGTAGCGCGCTCGCCTGGTATGCGTGCGGCCCGGGTTCGATCCTCAGCACCACATACCAACATACCAACAAAGATGTTGTGTCTGCCGAGAACTAAAATAAATAAATAAATTAAAAAAAAAAAAAAAAAAAAAAAAAAAAAAAAAAAAAGCGCCAACCAGTAAGTTAGGCATGATGACAGATGCCTGTGATCCCAGCTTCCAGGAGGCTGAAGCAGGAGGATTGTAAGTTGAAGGCCAGGCCTCTTAGGGAGACCCTGTCTCAACATAAAATAAAAAGGCCTGGGGATGTAACTCAGTGGTAGAGTGTTTACATGGCATGTGTGAGGACCTGGATTCTATTCCCAGCACTGAAGAAAAAAAAAAGCAAAAACTACTGGGTTAGTCTTTTGCTTCTTGCTTCTTAGTCACATCTGCATGTTACCCTTGAATCTGAGTTGCTGTGGATCCTCTGACAGCTGGGTAGCCTGTGTGACACTTCGGGGTCATGTGGTCATGGATTCTCTTCCCTTGGCTTCTTTGTTTTAATCTCACAGTTGCAGGCTCTCTGGGAAGCCTCCATCCCCTCTGGCTCTCTCCCCACGCATGCAAGGGCACCCAAGTGTTCTGTCTGTCCCTATATTGCCCAGTGCAGGGGTAGAAGGCCACAGCAGGCCCCTCTGCCTTCTCTGCACTGGAGTGTTGGGGGTTCCTGGGTGGGAAGCCCACAAGGAGTGCTGCAGAGAAGCAGGACTAGGAAAAAGGTGCCTTGGCCAGCCTGCCATGGTGTTGTTTCTGGAGCCCTAGGCCCAGAAGCATCATTAAAGTTTACAAAGGCCTAGGGATATAGCATGCTGAGGTCCTGGGTTCAGCTCCCCAGCACTGCAGCGGGGAAAAAAGTTATAAGGTGTTTCAGACATCAAAGAAATCTAAGGAATGGCCAGAAAAATAATCAGGTGCACATCATTCTGCTTAAAATAAAACAAGCAGTGCTGGGGCAGTGTTAGCCCCTGCCTTCTGCCTTCACCATGCTTGGGATCATTGCAGAGAAATAGGTGGTGTGGTGCTTCCTCCGGGTGGTACCCTGCAGTTGGCTTGGGGCTTGGCTGGGCATTTTCTGTGAGCTGTTTGCACCAGCCCACATTGCTCCAGTTCCTTTCCATGGCTCTTTAACTCCCCTCCAAGAGTCACGCCCAAGCCTTAGTCCGTTCTGCCAGTGGACATTTGGGATGTCTTGAGTTTTGGCTCTTCCATGCCATAGGGTGGTGAGCAGTCTTATGGCTGTCCGGGCACCAGTCGGAGAGTTTTCCCTAGAGCTGTACCTTGTTTAATACAACCATACAGGTTTTCAGTGGTCCTAGCCTGGAAACAAACAAAAAAAAGCTTTTTAGTTTATGGACGGAAAGTCTTGGACCCAGAACTGGTGGGTATCACATGTTCGAGCAGTTGTGAAGTGTGATATTTCAGCCATCCCATTGTGCTGTGTGTCCCTGAGGGGTGTAGCCAGCTGGGGATTGCTCCCCAGGCACAGGATCAGCTCTCTGGTCCAGAGAGAGATGGACCTGGGGTACACCAAAGGTGCCCACGCTGCTTTCAGCTAAGACCTCCATTAGTGCAGGTGCCAAAACCCATATGTCCAGTTTTGCTTTGCACAGGGAAACTGAGTTGCAGAAAGAACGTGCACCTGTACCCTCCCAGGCCCCTCCCCCTCCATCACTAGGGCCTTGGCAGGATCATATAGGTGTCCATCCTAATTGTTATTCTTTCAGAATTATCAAACATACTTTCTTGCTGAAATGTATCCTAGCCCCCAAATCAACACTCAAGCTCTTTCACAGTCATTCATGGATGTGCACAGAGTAGTGAAAAATTTATCTTCCATATATCTCCCAGCTAGGGCCACAGGCTGCAGCGCTGTTGTGCTGTCCCAGCTGACATGCTGTGAACCAGGATTCTCTCATGGTCTGCTTAGTGCCATGTTTTTCACATTCTGGGGACTTTGGCTGGTGTTTAATGTGATCCCTGAGGGCTAGGGACTGTGATGAGCCCAGGAAGCGCTAATGTTAGAAAAGCCTCAGGTATGAGCACTAGGATTTACTGTTGACTGTGGGGTCAGCGTGAATGAATCAGAGTCGTCTTTAACAAACACATACAGAACAACATCATGTGTTGATCAACTGACGAAAACAGAGTGACCAGAGGCCAGCAGGTACCTACCCACAGCATGTTTCCTCTGAGAGCAATGGTCAGTGTTAATCAGCTTTCTCTCTCTATAACATTCCCAAGGGAGCCAACTTTTTAAAGAAAAAAGTTTACTTTGGCTCAGAGTTGGAAGGTTCCAATTTATTTCTGGGTTGGCTTGTTGCTTTAGGCCTGTGGCAAGGCAGGGAACATGTGGTGGAACAAAACAGCTCACCTCCTGGCCAAGGAGCCAGGGGCCCACCAGGCCCTACCTCTTTTTTTTTTTTTTTTTTTTTTCTGATACTGGGGAATTGAACTCAGGGGCACTCAACCACTGAACCATACCCCCAGCCCTATTTTGTATTTTATTTAGAGACAGGGTCTCATGGAGTTGCTTAGCACCTCGCGGTTGCTGAGGCTGACTTTGAACTCGCGATCCTCCTGTCTCAGCCTCCTGAGCTACTAGGATTACAGGTGTGAGCCAACTGGCTTGGCCCAGGCCCTACCTCTTAAAGGTACCATTATCTTCCAGTAGCCCCAAGCTGGGGGCCAAGCCTTTAACATGTGGGTGTTTAGGGGACACTTAAAGTTCAGCTGTAGCCAAGTGTGTATGGGTCTCCATTCCCACCTAACCTCCAATTTAATGACTGAGTTAGTATGAATTAAGTGGAATTGTGGAAACTGGCCACATGTTCAGATGTGTGCAGAAAATGATCTTTCTTGTCCAGCCCTGAGGATACCCCACACCCAGAAACCCCTCTATCAATCCTATCCATCATGCTTAGGGTCATCCTGAGCTTGGTGGCACACTTCTTCTGACAGAAGAATGCTGGAGGCTCATGCCAGACACTCTTCTTAATGACCCTCCATGTCTTCAAGGTGGACCTTTCAGAATCCTGTCTGGGCTGTTTCTGAGCCAGCCCTTACTAGCACAGATCTCCATGTCCCCTTCTTTCTCCCTTTCCTCACATTTTCTTCCTTCCTCCTTCAAAGCCAGTGCCAGGCCCTCGCCTTTGTGGCGCATCTGTGGCCCTCTCCCTGCACAGAACACCAGGTGTCTCGTGCCTGAAGGCCTCCCTCTAACCTGGGGCATCATTAGTGTGTGCCTGTGTTATCTCTGTTCTTTTCTCACCTGGCTGGACGTGTAAAAATAATGAGATACTTGTTGAATGAACAAGCACAACCTTAAAAAGATAGATCCAGTCAGCTGACTCTAGCCCTGGAGAGTCACCCTCCCGCTTGACCCCCTGGGTCAGCCCAGGCCAGAAGAGCATCCCAGATGCATATGATGGTGGCTATAATTGAAACAGGGCTGATGATGATGCACCTATGAGTGTCGCGACACACGACTAAACCAGTCAGGGTCACTCCCAGTGAACTGGGCTGGCACAAAATAATCACACAGAGACAAAGAAATACCTTTTTCTTTGGGTTCTATGACAACTCCTTTGACCCAGCTCCCACAAAGGAGGTAAGGCAGGCGAGAAAGAGAAAGAGCACACCTTGAACTCTGTTTTATTTGGGGAGAAGCCATTCAGATGAGGCAAGGGGCCAGGTTGCAGGGGGGGTGAGTCTAGCTTCTTGATGTCTTACAGGTCAGCAGGTTGACTGACCTTGGAAGGCCACGCTCATCTCATGTGTTGTGTGATGATCAAAGACAGAGCAAGCAAAAGGAACACACATACGGGCACAGCCAGAGAGAGCTGCATCGTCAGTCCAGTCCAGTATACTCAGAATGCTCACACTCACAGCCCATGGCTGGCTCGACACATCTCCACATTCTCATTGCTCAAAGCTAGGGGGCATTCAGCTCCTATGTGGTAGCACCCGACATAATGGGGAGCAACCATGCTCTTCGTGTGGGAGGGGAACCGGAATGGTTCACACATGTCACAGGCTCTGAAGTGGGCAAGATTGGGGTGTAGGAAGAGGATAGAAGGAGGGATCCGAGTCTCCAGTACAAGCGACCCCACCCTGGGCACTTCCTTGGGCCATCAGGAGGGGGAAGGCCGAGGTTGCTTTCCCCATCATCCAAGGGCCAGGCAGCATCTGTCTGTGGGTCGGTCCTTCCAGAGAGCAACAGCGGTGCTGGAGGAACCCTGGCCACTTGGGAGAGATTAGAAGACTCTATAGCTCTCAGCTCAGGGAGTGGCTGCGCCAGACCCTGGCACAGAGCAACGCCACAGAAGCAAAATGAGGCCTCGGGAGAAGACCAGAGGACAGGGCTGCTTTTCTTTTGCAAAAAAATTAAAATCTCAATCACAGGGCATTGCTAAGTACTTTGAGTTTGCACTGCAGCAGCTGTCTGTCCCCTTTGGGTCCCCTAGAGTCTCCTGTGCAGATTGTGGGCCTTGTGTCCTGGGAGAAATTGTGCACCAGCCCCACGTCTGAGGGTGGGGTGTCCTTAGAAGGATCTCTTTGCCAGGCCGGAAGCAGATAGAGGGATGCACGGGGCGTTAGGGTTCACTGTTGTGCAGGCAGAGTGATGGGGCAGCAGGAAGAGGCCCTGGGGCCATGGGACTGCTGGGCATCAGACACAGGGGAGCTTCTCCACAGACCTTCACATTGAGCCATTTGTCTCTTGGCACTGTTCCTTTTCTCCCTGCTTCTTCCCCCACAAGAGAGCACAGTGGTCTATTTGCATGTTCACAGAGGCCATTTGCATGTTCGTCTGGCATGGGGAGCTGTGTGGTGCTGGGTTACACCCCAGCACCTGCCTCAAGAGCCCATGGCACAAGCGTGGGTTCAGTCTGCGCTCCATACTTTGACTCTGTCCCAGTGGTTTGTGTGTGCGCAATCCAGAGGTGGGTGTTACTCCAAGAAGGATGTTCTTTTTGTCCTTCTAAAAGAAGGGTGTCCATATAGCCTCTCAATCCAGGAAAACTGGGTGCCAGTGCCATATGAGGGGCTGAAGGAAAAACCCTCTCCAAGCTTCTGTGGGCTGCACCTCCCCGGTGTGTGGTAGAGTGGGTAGTGTGGGATCTGCAGAGCAGCTTGTGGTTCCTGAAGTACCTGCACACCTATGTCCTACAGCAGGCCATCTGTAATCCCCCTGCTCTACAGCTGAGGAACCTGAGGCTAGGGGAGTTTGCAGTTTGGGGGGCACTTTATCCTCCCCCGAATACACACAGTGCTGGGGCTGGAACCCAGAGCCTCTTGCATGCTAGGCAAGTGCCCTGCTACTGCACTAAACCCCAAGCCCTGAGTTTGCATTCTTTCTTACAGTGACAGCCTTGATGGACAGAGCAGAGCAGACCCAGTCTTGAGACTGCCAGTCTCAGCTCCCCTCCCCTTCCCTGTCACCTGCCCTGCCTTGTGACCTAGTGGGCATGACTCTGTTTTGACTTGTTATTGACACACTGAGAGCAGGTACATTCATTTGTTATTTGTTTATTATCTCTATAAATATTATTACTATCCCAGCAAATATTCAGTAACCAAGCACATGGATCCAGGGCTTCATATACGTCTACTTACCCTGTTGATGTCCAGCCCTGCTGTCAGGAAGCACATATTTGGGGACAGAATATGTTGGGGTGGGCAGAGGATGCCAACTGTTCCCTGGTAGTGGTACACAAATGTAATCACGGAAGAGGTCCAGTCTCACAGGCAGGTAAAGGGCCTAAGTACTGCTGTTCTCCATTGTGTGGCCTGAGGGGGATCCTGGGAAAAGCCACACACTCCCTAGACCTCACAGGTGTGGGTGCTCTGGCCTCCCCATGGGCACAAGGGGCAGTGTCAGCAAGTGCTGTGTGTGCCTCAAGGAGGAGAGGCCACCAGCCCCACTGCTATAGTGTAAATGGCAAAGAGGCAACAGCCCTGGCCAGTGCCCACCTGTAGCAGCCCAGTGCCCGCAGCTTCCTCCTGGCTTCCTCCTCTGTGTGTCCTGGGGTGGTTAGTGCTAAGATTCAGTCAGCTCCAGGTTTTCAGGACCAGCTCTGACATGTGAAGGGCAGGTGCCTTTTGTGTTTAGTGGGTGAGAACCAGGAACTAGAGCCAGTACAGATGCCTGGGCTCCGGGACGGGCTGCCCTCAGGGTGATCGAAGCCAGCATCTAACACAGCCCAGCTGACAACACAGTCAGCAGACACCCAGGTGTGGGGCCCTCTGACTGCCTCTCCGCTTGCTCATCCACCCTGCCCTGTGCTGTCCTTGGTGTTATGACCTACTCGGGCACATTTGGTAGTCAGGGCTCAGAATTCTGGTTTCCCTGATCCTGGCCACATGTGACCTGGCAAAGGCACATTTATCAGCCCTGCTTCTCACCAGCTGCTGCTGAGTAGGTTTGGGGACTGTTTCTGTTTGGCTTTCAAAGGAATTTGCCTTTCTAGTATCCTGGAAAGGATAGCCAGACTCCATACCCATGGTTTTCTCAGGAGATGGCTGTCCATAACAAACACCCCATGCCAGGGCCCTCAGAATAGTCCAGTCCCCCAGCATACAGGCCAGATCTGGCCTGGCTTGCTTTGCTCTTTGTGATTTTCCCAAACCTTCAGCTCTCTAGTGAGGGAGCCAGCTGTGGGAGTGGGGCTGACAGCCTCCAGCCAGGACCAGCCCTCCTCCAGCCCCCAGAAGCAACATACCAGAACTTGCTGAAGGAACAGCATCATCTGGCTGGCTTCCCAGAGCTCAGCCCCCTCCAGGGGTGGGGTGTGGCAGCAGGAACCCCAGAAGTCTCAGGCTCTGTTTTTCATTCCAGGGTAGATATGGCTCTGACTCAGGGTACGGCAACGGGGGAGGCCATAGGCGAGCAGATGGAGGCACGGTGATAGGTGATGTGAGACAGGACAGGGCGACAGGATGAGGGGCTGGCTCAGGGTTCGCACAGCAGGTCCATGGAGGGGCAGCACAGACAGGAGCAACCAAGGAAAAGGTCCTGTGGTGGGCATGAGGTTGGCACCTTCCTGGAACAGAAAGCAGGTGGGGCAGAGACTTGCAAGGAGAGATGGCCTTTAAAAGTGGAAGGGGTTGGGCTGGGGCTGGGGCTCAGCAGCAGCGCACTTTCCTGTCATGTGAGGCACTGGGTTCGATTCTCAGCACTGTGTATGAATAAATAAAAAATAAAGGCCTATCAATAACTACAAAGAACAAAAAGTTGAAGGGGCCTTAGGGACTGGGGGATGGCACCTGTGTTTCAGGAGGGGGTAGGAACAGGGGCTCTAGGCTCTAAGTCAGTCACCCTGGCATATCAGTCCCCAGGGACCTGTGACCCTCCTTGGGCCCTGCATCTCTAAGCTGTGCTCTCAGTGTGATACAGAGGCTGTCCAGTGCTGTCGCAAGCCAAGCAGTCCCCGCCTGACCTGCTTGACAGGATTGTGCATCCCGTCCCATGATCAGGCTTTTCCTGAAGGGCTCTTGCGTCAGCCTTGCCTTTGATGAGAGATTTGTTCTTCCTAGAGCGCCTTATCATTTCCATGCACGTGTGAAAAGCTGATCATGCCTCAGCCAGCAACGCCCCACAGGCTCCTGAAGCAGAGCTGTGCTGCCCTGCCCAGCAGGGACTCTGGAGACTTATTGCCTCATTTGTTTGTGGCTTGGGTTTTTCTTTTTATAAGTTTTTGTCTGAAATTTATTTTATCAGCATGTGACATGCAGCCAACTTGACCCCAAGATGAAAAACTAAATGTAGAGGCTGATTTCTGTTTGGAAGCTGCTGCTCTGGTGGTAGGAGCAGGGTCTGTGGCCTAATTTGGAGCCAGTCTCTGTCTCCAGCAGGTTTGTGCCCACATTAGGTCAGCTAATGCTGTCCCAGCACCCTGATGGCCCCTGGTCAAAAGAGCACTGGGGAAGGGGGGCCAAAATCAGGGTGTAGGCGCAGCCTCTGTATAGAGGAAGGTGTGGGAGCCCAGGGCTCCCTCAGCTTCATCAAATGCTTGGAGTGCTGACTGGCCATGGACAGAGTGGCCTCCTCCTCTTCCCATCTGTTGAGTGAAGACACCTGCCCTGAGGTTATACCTAAGCCAGGTGAGTGAGGAGGGCCCAGATGATGAAGGAGCCAGCTGGGCAGTAGATGGAGAGAGCAGCGAAGTGTCCATGCCACATTTGAGGCCAGGCAGTCCTGCCCTGCCCACAGACACTGGCAGAGCACTGGCCTGCTGAAGCAGAAGAAAGGATGTGCCCTCCCAGACGTGGCAAAGCAACCAGGGACTGGTAGGCCGTGAGTGGAAGAGGGGACAGTGTTAAGTGCCCTGCTGCTTGTGGGGAAAACCTGGCAACTCTGATGGCCATCCCAGGGCTGCCTGTTAGAGCTGGACCTGGAGAGCATTCTCATCTTGTAGATGAGGAAGCAAGGGTTGCTGCAGGAGTCGCCAGAGGAGCTGAGGACAAGGACCATGATCTGCCCATCTCAGGCCACTGCCCCACACACTGGCTTCTGGCTAGGCTTGGCTGTGAGGGGAATGCCCATTCCCTCCCCTCCACCACCCACAGGAGCTGGGCCAGCAGGGTGTGAGCCTTCTTACCCCTTTCTAAGGACCGCTGAGTCACCTCTGAGGGAGGGGTGGAAGACTGAAGCCATCCGCCTATCTTGTCCTCACTGGGACTGGAGGAGCAAGAAACAACACTGCAACTCCTGTGGCTGCCTTGTCGCACAGTGCAGTGTGCCAAGCAGTGCACAGTTCCAGGGGTAGCAAAGAGCGCTGGCAACTGCTGTGTGGGGCACTGGGTCAACCAGGTGTCCATCACCCACTGGACTGCAAGATGGTGTACTGGTCATGGCAGGAAACAAGGCCCACGGAGACAGAGGGGGTGCTGAGTTAGAACATGTGCTTGGAATGGCTTCCTTAACAGGAAGTGACACCAGAGCCCAGGCCTCCAAAGCCAAGTAGCAGTTTGTCCAGAGCAGAACAAATGGGCAAGGGAGGCAAATCCCAAAGAGGCCCTGAGCTGCCAAACAGCGAAGGCTGTGTGTGGACAGAGGGCATGGGTAAGGCCTGCGGGTGGCAGGCTGGGGAGCAGGCCACACTGGAGTCCTAGGGGAAGATGCCAGGGTGGGGGCCTTCCAAGGGACTCAGACCGAGGACCTCATCAGGAACAGATGATGTGGACAGAAACCTCCATCAGGACTGGTGAATTCACTGTCAACACAGATGAGTTCTTTCCAGCCCTGTGCAGAAGGGGTGGCCATGCCTGTAGCTGCCCTGTCTGCCACTAGACAGTACTGTTTTCTGTCGCAGGGGCAATGACACACAGAGCTGCCTCTTACAGCCTGTCTGTTGTGACAGCCACTGAATGATCTTGTCCATTTGCTGTTGCCATTACTGTCTAAAGCAGCTCCCTTCTGACAGCAGCCCCTCTGCCTCCTGTCTGGGCAGTGCTGGGCCACAGACGCATGGTTCAGGTACCCCTCTCACTGCAGGTTCCCTCCCTGCCTCCTGCAGCCTATGCAGGCAGAGGGGCAGCAGCTATCACTGGGAATGCTCTCAGCTCCCTGCCGTTCAGGCAGCAAATTGTAGCCAGGCACAGTGGTGCGAGCCTATAATCCCAGTAGCCCAGAAGGATCACAAGTTCAAAGCCAGTCCCAGTTACATAGCAGTGCCCTGTCTCAAAATAAAAAGGGCTGGGGATGTGACTCAGTGGTTAAGTGCCCCTGGGTTCAATCCCTGGTACCAAAAAACAAAAAACACAAAGTTGCTTATTCTCCATGCCAGCTGGATGCCATCCTTAAGCTCAAAAAGCCACACTGGGAGATGGGGTCAAAGTGACTAGTGCTACAGTGACAAAAGACATCCTCCAGGAGATGAGCCTGACCACGGCCCTAATGCCAGGCTCTCCACAGCCCATTTGTCCCTCTGACAAGCCAAGTCCCAGGTGAGGGACCTGGACTCTTGAGAACCCCCATAAGCTGGCCAGGAGCAGAGCCCTGTTGGGTGGAGTGGTGCTGGGATTGAACCCAGGGTGCTCTACAGCTGAGCCATGTCCTTTTTTATTTTTTATTTTAAGACAGGTTCTTACTGAGTTTCTGAGGCTGGCCTTGCCATTCTCCTGGGTAGCTGGGATCCCAGGCATGCACTACCACTCCGGACTCCTTTCTAACTGATGTCGAACTGTTGTCTTGTCCATCAGCCCAAGTCCAGGGGACAACCCCATGGGCTAAGAGGACACCCTGGGCTTCGGTGCTACTGTGCTTTGACACCAAAGCTTGGTTCCCCAGTAAACCTTGACAAGCAGTACCGGGCGTCAGTGGGTCTCTCTTAGGACTTGAACTAATGGTGGCAGTAGCACATGGAAAGCCATTTTAGAAGCCTTTTCCTGATTCTTCTCCTCTGCTGCCATTCACAAAGGTTGCTTACTAAAAACAGCATGGCTTTGGTGGACAGAGAGGCCATCTGTGTGGGGAGGGCACATCTGGGAAGCCTCGGATGCCTGGTGTGTGACAAAAGTGGAAGTTGTACCTCCTGCAGCTATGGAAGGGGTGGTGGCCACCCAAAGTCTTATTTACACAGCCTGAGGTGGAGCGTGCCATGACACATGGTCCTCCCCTTACCAGCCTACTTCATCCTCCTGCCTCACCCAACTGGGGCCAGAGTAGGAAGCGCCTTTGGCACACAGTGGTGCTCCTGTGCCCTCTTTTCTCTCTGCCCTTTTCCCTGCCCACGTGCTGCTTCCATTCAGGAGTGACAATTCCTGAGCTTCTCACGCAGATATCCTGAGGGCTCCAGGGACAGGACCCTCTGCAGGTCACATCCAGGCTGCACTCTATGGCTTTTCCTCTCGTGGAATGATCACTGCCCCATAGCCATACAGGAGAAGCTCACCTCTGGACATCATCCTGGTGACACTGGGGACCACTGAGAGGTCCCTGGCCAGAGCAGACAGACCAGGGCAGTGCCAGCAAGTCATTTCCCTTCCTGGAAGATCCAGTGTGCTGTCAAGTCCCTCTTGCAGGGCTTTGCCAGCATCCCCAAGTCAGGAGCCATGGCGTAAGCACAGAGTGAGCTGCAAGGATGCCAGCCGGGCAGCAGAGCAGCCTACAGGCATGCCACCTTTTGGCCCGGCTCAGGAGGAAGACTAATGGAAAGTGAGAGGGTAGCTCCATGTATGTCTGCCAGTGGCTTCACAGATCCAAGCCAGCATGGAAGGGGTGTAGCTGGGTAGCTGGACAGGGAAAGGGACAGGGACCTACAGACCACAGATCTGCTCTTATGCCCCTCCCTTCCCTTTCCCTACCCTCTCACCCAGTGCAGGGATTTCTCCACACTGCCCAGGACAGTCTCAGCCACTTCTTGGGCCTCCCATGACTCTATGTTCCAGTTGTGTCCCACACACAGCTGTCTGACAGCCCTACTTCCTGAAACCCAGGCCTCCCTCCTCCTGTCTCACACATGGGCGGAGTCAGAACTGGCCACCTACAGGAATGTCAGGTTGGACCAGTGGTCATTCAGCTTCCCTGCCTACAGCTTCAGGGCCATAGAGTTCCTTGGCCTCTCACCCATGTCCCCATCTGTAAAATGGGTGTGTCCCTATGTGGTCATCTAGTGGGTGTTAATAATCAATGACATGGGCAACATGGGACCCAGCAGGTGGTGCTCCTATTCCGTACCCTGCTCACCTCTCCCTGCATCTCACCTGCGTGGCTGGTTTTGCCCATTGGGAACTTGCCTTGTGAGTCCAGCACAGGTGACCTGTTCCTGGGCTCGTCGCAGCCAGGCCCTCCTCCCTCACTTCCTGTAGCTCATTCCACATTCTCTTTGCTGCTGTTCTGCCTTATTTCTTAGCCACCTGATGGCTTCCTCAAGACTAGGACAGAGACTTACCACACTACCGAGCCCCTAGAGCGCACAGCATCTAGTTGACAGCTTGTTGATCAGGGCCTCCGGCTGGCACTGGTCTGTTGCTGTGGGGGACACAAGGCATTGGTCCCTCCCCGACTGATTGCCAACTGGGCCACCCACCAGCCCCACCCTAGTTCCTGGTTTACAGGGTGCTGAGCCAGGCTCCCTCCAACAGAGGAGAACAGGACTGAGACACACCCTTGAGAGTTCCACTGAGAAGGACTCAGAAAGGAGTGTGGGGCTGTTTTGGTGGTGTGGTGTGGACAGTGTCACCACAGGTCTAATGGCTGGGTTGGTAGAAGCTCACAGGCAGAGGGCAGGAGGGGAAGCCAGCTCCAACCCTCACCCTGGCCCAGAGAGGACAGGTGACCCCTGTGGCGTCCTATAGGAGGTTATCTCCCACTTCAGGGTCCTGAGGAAATGAGGCCCAGCAGCAGCCCTCTGCCCTCCCACTCCTCCATGCTGCTTTCTTTCCTTCAAACAATCCACCGAGCCTGCACCTGGCCACTTGTTCTCCATCCCGTTGCTTGTGATTCATCCCCCACTCCCACCCCCACTGTGGTGCAGCAGCTTGGCAACCTGTTCTGTGCATTTCCACTATGGCGGAACCCTCCTGTGGGTCAGTTCCTCACTTCTGCCCAAAGATGGCCAAGGATTAGGACTCAGAAGAATGCTTGTCTTTGAAAGAAAACTGCTTCTCTTAAGGTCTTTTCTCTTTGTTTGGTTGGATCCCCAACCTCAGTAATGGGGATGGTGCCTGGGGCTTGGTGCACGCTAGGCAAGCGCTCTACCACTGAGCCACCCCCAGCCCTGGTCATTATTAATACCGATGGGCCACCTGTGCTACCAGGAGTCACATGCTCTGGAATGGAGACCCATCTGATTGCTTGCTCCCCAGGTGCCTGGTACACAGGTGACAAACACAGTAAAGGGGCCGTGCTGGTCAAAAGCAAATGTGTGTGAGCGGGGGCCGGGCACAGGTGGGTGGGGCACATGAGGTAAGAGCAGGCAGGTCTCCACTGGGCGACCTTGGGCTGACTCTGGGGTCAGGATCCAGCCTCAGGAGGTTCTGAGGATGTGTCCTACAGGCAACAGTGACTTCTCAGCCCTGTTTCCCACCCAGCAGGGACCACCTAGGTATGGCCTCTGCAGGAGCCTTCACAGGAAATGGGCTGCTGCCCAAATCTAGGGCAGTCTTGGATGAGTTCCCTCTCAGGGTCCAGCTCACATCTGTCCTGGGACTGGGTAGGAGGTGATGGTGTGGGTTTCACGCTGGCTGCCCTCCTGGGCACAGCAGTCACTTGGGCTCCACAGCTGCTCTGCCGACCCCAGCAGGTGCTGTGCCACACAGCTCGCTCAGCAGGGCTCAGGCCCTTGCTGTGTGTGCTCTGCACCTGGCTGCCAAGAGGCAGCGTGGACTTGCTCCTCTGCCGTCTGTCCTCAGGGTGGGACTCCAATTGGCCTCACTTTGGGATGGGCTCTGTCAAAGGCTTCATTTCATATCTGCTGCTGAGTCCATCAGCGGCTCTCAGCAAGGTGGGGCAGTATGCTAGTCCCCCGTGGAGATGGCGTCAGCCCCTCTGGGGTTGGCTGCCCTGTGACAGGGACGTGAATAGCACCACTCCTCACGTGGAGACTAAAGGTGCGTTCTTGTAACCCATTTGTGTATGTTCTGCCCCTGCCCAGGTGCTGTCCTTCTTCCATTGCTATTGGGCCTGTAGTCAACATGAGGCAGACTCATCACTCCCACATCTTCCTTTTGGCCTTTGACCTTTCTGTCCATTTGTGCCTGTTCCTAGCCTGTGGAGCTGCGGAGAGAAGGGACTTCTCAGTCTTACAGATCCCCCCTGGTACAGACAGGTGGCCATGTGAACATGGAGTTCCTGAAGACGTTGTGGGGGCCTTGGGAGGCTGAGGCCAAGAAACACATAAGAACCCACCAGCTGTGCCTTGCTCAGAACAGGTCCTCAGGCCCAGGTGCCCTCAGGAAGTGGTGGTTTGTGCCTGGTTGGCTTCAGTTCTCAATTCACTGCAGGAGCTGGGCTCACATTTCCCTGTGGGCAGCCCCAGCTCTGAGAGCGTCCTGACTTCCCACCCACAAAGGAAGCGAAACTGACCCATGAAACTCAGTGGAACGCCCCAGAACTGCTGGCAGAGGGTCTTTATTCCTAATCCTGGCCTAATCCCTAGGCCAGCCTCCCTGTGGGGTGGAGCACTCTGTGCAGGGCCAGCAGTGACAGGGGGCCAGTGTCCCTCCCACTTCTTTCCTGCCTCTCCCCTAAGTCCCAGGCGCCTCCTGGACCAGGAGTCCAGCCTCCCAGTGGGCGTGGACAAGGGGATGTGCAGTCAGGTGATCTGGAAGGCTGCCTTCTGTGGAGCAGGCCTGCTCCTGGGCCCAGCAAGCAAATCCGGGAGGGTGGGTACTTCTCAAGCCTCCCCATTTCTGCTCTTGGACCATTTCCTCCTAGGTTCCTGTGGTTCCTGTTGAGATCCTCGCTGTCTCTACCTGTGTCCTGGGCCACCAAATGCTCTGCTAGGCCTCCCCTCATATAGCACACTGGGCACTACAGGGACCATCACAGCATCCCTTGCTCACATCTTGCAACATTTGGAGCCAGGGAGACTGCTAGGTGTGGACTGGCAGGTACCCCTCAGTCTTGGGGTGATAGTCACCAGTGACAGCAGATGACACCTTCCACTCTTCTGCTGTGACTGTTAGCTGCCAGAAGGACACAAGCCTGTCTCTGCTGTCCGGGTGTGTTTGCACACATACATACTTGCACACCGGGATATGGTCACATACCATTAGACCAGGACATTAAATGTACACGGTCACTTGAGTGACATCAAGCCTCCTGACAGTGGAACCATGTGGGGGTGGGGTGAGTGAGCTGTGGAAACCACCAGAAGACTCCGGCCCCCTGTGCCAGAGCCTCACTTCAGGTGGGAACAGGCTGCCAGGCCATCCCACATAAACACTGATTACTGGAAGGAGCCCATGGCTGTCCCTCCTTTCGCCTCATGCTACCCACTCTGGAAAAGCTCTGATAAGTCCTGCAGTGAGAAACCCTTAGTAAGTAAACGGGGCAGTTTCCGTGTGCTGTCTGCCCCTGGGCCTCCTCTGCACTGGGGCCTGCTCCCCTCTAGGTATGCCCATAGAGCATGGATGCCCTCTGGGAGATGGGGCACCAGGCCCACTCGTTTCCTTCCTGGAGAGGCAGGGAGCCTCTGGTGGGAGGTTGAGGCACCACAGTAGCCCAGGAGCAGCCTCGCTGCCACCCATCAGCCCCCTACCCAGGAGGGCTTCCCAGCCCTGTCATAGGGTTGTCAATGTGTCATTCAGCCATAGTTGGCCCCTGCATGCACACCTGGTGGTACACAGTGTCTCTGAGCAGGTGTCTCTAGAAATGCCGCCAATTCTGTGTGTGTTGGCATCTCTGTGCCCACAGCCAGGCCTAGCACCAGACCTAAGGTTTCCTCCTGGGGCGGGGTGGGGCTCCTCGGGGTGCGGTGAGCCAGTGACACCTGGACTGCCAGGTCTCGCCCAGCCACCTCCCAGGCACAGGAGCCCTTGGTCAGGGGTCCTGCAGCCTGTCCTGCCCAGGTGGTGGGAGGTGGCCAACCTGTTCCATTTCTTAATCTTGCTCCAGCTGTATATAAGAGGGTCTGTGTTTGGCTTAGAGAACTGCACATTCCCTGACAGGTGCTTTGTCTTGTCCCCATCTCCCTCCTGGCTGAACAGACTGGGACTCAGGAAAGGTACAGCAAGCCTGCCTTTGTGCTCCCTGTTCACAGTGCCCTGAAGGCACTGGACAAGGAACCTCGGCAGTGCAGGGACTCGGGGGTCTCTGCCCTGCTCCCTGGGGCCCTCAAAGTTTCCAGTAGACCAGCCACCTTGTCACACAGATGTAAACCTGCACCAAGCCCTCAGTGTGCCAGCATGATTGAGGCTCCCCTGGCTAATTCTTCCCAGTTTCAGGGCTACTTTTGCAGCCAGTGGATTTTTTTCATATTCAGGCACTTGGTCAGAGGGTGCGGCTGGTGGATGGTGTTCTTGTTGTGCTTACCCTCGCATTCCTGTAACTGGTTTACATCCCTGACTGGCCACCCTTGTAGGTCCTTATTGTCACAGTACTGGTCAGTCCCGGAGGACCCAGGTGTGCACTCACCTTGTGAACTTCCCGGGAGCTCACAGTGTACGAGTGGGGCAGCCGCACCTGCTCTGCAGCTCGGGAGGGTATGCCTGGGTGTCAGCTGCAGGGGTCGAGCACATGCACGTGCACCAGACCCGCTCTGGCCACCTGCCCCTCTGCCCAAGACCATTTACCTGTTGGCTGGCTCTCAGCCAAATTATGAGCAAGGTTTTGGTGGATTTGTTTGTTTTTTCACTCGATTGAAAGACACTCAAGGAAGGTGTGGGGCAAATCCGCACGGCTCCATCTGCAGGGGGTTCACGTAGGCACTTCTGGAAGTGTGTCTCCAGGGCTGTTTTCCTACACAGTGGGATCCTGCACCCCTCACCTGTAGGTCTGCCTCTCCAAGGGGAGTGTTTGGTCCTGGGTGCACCCCTGACGTCCAGTGCCACCTGGACTGCCAGGTCTCGCCCAGCCACCTTGTCAGTCTTGCTGTTGTCACCATGTTTAGGTTCCCTGTATACAGGCCATGGTGGCTGCAGCAGATGCAACTGGGATACACCCAGGGGTGCCTCTTCCTCCTCCTCTGCACTTCACACGGTCTCCCTCCTTTTGTCTTCCAGTTGGTCAGCGAGAAGGTCGGAGGGGCAGAGGGGACCAAGCTGGACGATGACTTCAAAGAGATGGAGAAGGTAGGAAACTGCCCAGGCTCCTCACGCTGGTCAGTGCTACTGAAAGAGGGGCCCCAGAGTGCTGCCTCACCGTGGAGCCTCAGTGGACGTGCCCACCCTGGCAGGGCTGTGACTGACAGGCCCCTGTCAATCAGGTGGACTCATAGGTAGCAGCTTCAACCCAACCCCAGGCAAGCAGCGATGGGGACAGGATGCAGCTGAGCTGATGGACAGGGTTGGG